AAACGTCAACCGTTTTAATGCCGTGTTGGCAGGTCTCTGCCATGGTTCCATGTGGGAGCTATTTTGGGACAGCCGGGAGCAGCCTGGAAACTGACAGAATTATTAAGCCATTTACGTGCCTTTGCTTTGTTTTCATTTGCTGCATTTTGCAACTGCGATTTTGAGTGATGTGATGCCCGGGGCCGGCGTCGTTTTCGTCGATTGGGCGGTGGAGCGGTGGGACGGTGGGGCTCTGAGCCTGGTTTAATCACCTGTCAGCCAGCTACGAACGGCTGAAACGCCAGTGGAAAGTCATCAGTTGGCTTACGAACAAGTAAGCTGGCCATGTCAGGAGTAATTTAATTGACGCCGAATGGTGGGGTTAACCTTTGGGAGTGATTGCAGATGGGTCACAGCCCATGGCCCTATTCAGTGTCACCTTAAGGTAGTTATTGCCAATGAGTGATTAGTTATGGGTATAGCAGTCCCAAGCCGTGGGAAATTCAAGGCCTTATGACCAAATTCCCAATCTTTTAGGTTGTCGTAAAACATCAACATCACTTCAAAGGGAAATTTCCATTTGATGCCGCACTGTGCAAATCGTAGATAAATTTGACGATTGATCGAATTTTCCCATTGATTGAGAGAATAAAGTTTATAAAAAGGCAAGCGAAGAAGAAAAAAGTAGATGGTATTAATGAAGGAGGAAAGTAAAGGTAGAAAGGAAACCAGGTCTTCGAAGGATTGGGGGATTTATTAAGAAATGCATTGGGCGGAAAGCTCTTCGAGGATGTCGGAAGCAGGATGGAGAAGCTGCCATGCCCTGCACAAAGAGTTAAGCAAATGAAAAGGAACTCATGGAAAAGTAATCAACGATTTTCTCGAGAAAAGCTAAACGACTGATTTACAATGAGCCAAGAAGTGCTTGAGATTAAGACTAAAAAACCAAGGAGTAGTTTTTCATTTGAATTTAATGAATGAGTTTTCTTTTCGTATTTAATCATTTCTGCTTAATAAGCAGGAAATGGTTCCGGGAAAGCGTTTAGAATTGCTGAGGTATTTCTATGAAAATGTTCTAGCTGAAAATTATTAGTATTTTTTAATCCATCGAACAATTAAAGATAGTGTAAAGATTTAGATTTAAAATTCCTGAGAAGTGTATGCCAACGAACCAGATGGTGAATAATTCAATAGCCAACAGCAGTGTCGAAAACTTTATAATCTAAAACAGCCAACGGAGCGGACAGATGGTTCGAAACTCATACAAAATGCATTCCAATTAAATGCAATAAATTAAATAGAATTCTAGCAGAGACTAGATAACCATTTGGTTCCCTCCCACTCCCCCAAAACTGCTGCATAATTAATTAGCCAAGCATGTGGCGCAGCGGAAAAACAAGGTCATTAAGAATGGAACTCATTCGTTTGCTTACAAAGATTGCAAATTATGCAGAAAATAAGATGGCACCATAAGCCATTGAGAAGAGGTTTTGATTGATAGTGACTGAATAGTTGATACCCCAAGGAGACGCTAATTCTAACATAAATGTTTAAGGCCAAGTCTTAGTAAAGATATTCGCTAATCACTAATTAGAGCTACTTGGGGAAAGTGGCCTCTGGGACCTGTAACAAACATTTCTTTTAACTTTAATGGAAACATTCGAATATATCTCTTATAAAACAGTCTCTCGCTCCTCTTCTGCTGGGCATAGTTCAATAACAGTCTTATACTCCATGTTACGAGCCGTTCAACAGTTCCCTCTGTTAAACGCCGATGCGTGTGTATAAGACATGAGAAAGAGACCTGTTCAAGTGATTTGTGATCCTTGTGCAGCATTTCACCATGCCTATACAACCTTGTTTGTACCGTCTCTAAGCCGCAAAGCAGTTTGCCTACAAAGCCTTGCTTGTGTTAAGAAGTTCTGAATAGAAGTGGCTCATTGGTGGCTACCATCTAATGACATCCATCAGGCAGTCAACCAGCAGCTGCCAAACAAGACCAGCGACTGCGACGATGCCGTCGACAAGTGACTCAATCTTTGACTGACAGCGAACTAAATTCTAAAGCATTTTAATTGCTGTCTCGGTGCCCCGGGAGGGGGGCTTTATTTCGTTGCATACAAAATAAAATGGGTGAGTGGTTTGGGATTGAGGTTGAGTAGGGGGGGAGAAGGAGGTTGAAAGGGCATAAATATGTTGACCTTGCAGCCAGTCAGTTAGAAAGCGAAAGGGGCTTTCGTTGAAAGTCAAATTTGCATAATTTGCATGCAGCAGCAGGCCACGAGGTGGGGTGGGGGAGATGCAATTGCACTCAAACCGAGCATAGAATTTAGTTGTTAGGAAAACTTGCTGACAAATTGTGGCCCAGGCTAACGGAGGAAAGTCAACACCTTAAATCCCAGACCAGACCAGACCAGACCAGCAGAGCCCCACAGTCTGAAAGGCGTCTGTGCCATGAAGGAGGGGAACGACGCCAACGCCAGCGCCAGCGACGACAACGGTGGATGTTGACGACTTTTGCCATTGAGACGGCCAAAGTTTTTTATGGCAATTTTCGCCAGAGCCAGACACTTGAAGTGGTTGTCCTTGTTGTAGTTGCTAGTTGCATGAATATGAAAATTGTAGCATAAATTGCAACCGAGTTACAAGTTCTTTTCACCCGCATTTTCCGCATAGGCCTGGGCCTGGGCCTGGGCCTGGGCCTGGGCCTGGGCCTGGGCCTGGGCCTGGGCCTGGGCCTGGCCTGGAAATAAAGTGGAAAAGTTTTTTGTTCAAAAATAATATCAAAAATGGTAAGGAAAAGAAGCTTCTTCAACTTACGGGTAAACTGCATCTTAAGTCGAAGCAAATTACATTTGCAAAACAAATCAAGAAACACTTCAAGTCCTTGTGGGGCGGGACTGCAGTTGACCAGGGATTTTGCGAAAAGTTTTCATGATAAACTTTCGGTTTCGGTTCCAGGAAATTAAATTCATAGCAATTATGACACTTGAGCTTCCACTCTAGATTTAAACAATTGGAATTACTCAGAACCTTGTGCTTTCTCCATTGCAAATTACCCAGGAAAACAAACTATCAAAAGTTCGGTCCGGGTCCGGGTCCGGGTCCGGGTCCTTGCTCTTTTCCACACAGTCCGGGTATTGTCCAAAGTAATCTGTAAAATTGAGAGGAATAAAAAAATATAAGTAAAATACACAAAATGTCAACACTCTGAGATTTCGAAGGAGCCCAGACCGATTGCGGACAGATTTTATGCATCTCAATTTTGCAGGATTGCCTGGACATGGACCTCAACCTCAAACAGAGCCTGGACAGGTGTGCTGTGTGCTGTGAGCTTCGTTGCAGCATCCATTAGACGACCCTTTGCTAAGCTCTTAAGCGGCATGCCTCAGGCGGTGCCAGGGACTGCCCTCCAATGGTTGGCTCCAATAGCGTTTCACAATTTTATGACGAGCCACGGAATGGCCAAAAGGTGTGAGTCGGTCGATAGCCGTGGCTACCTCTGACAGACAGACAGTCCTATCCTTGGCTGGACTCATCTATCCCTTCATCTATCTATCCTTTGGTCTTGTGTACGTCCGCTTGATTGCTTCGCTTGGCTTGACGGGGCGTTTGATATTCGGTTTCACATAGCACACAGCAAATAACACTTTTACAGTTCGATGTTGAGTGCTGGATGTTGATGGATGCGGACTGGTCCACCCCTGGGAATAGGGTACTGAACTGATGTCTGTTTAGTTTCCGATTTAATCTGCAACTCTGCGGCAGTCAACGCCTGTTTTCCTGCTGTTGCAATCTTTCGACCTTGCCAGACTCCGAACCTGCTTTTGGGGCCCAAGGTAATTCGATTCGCGTTTGCATAGGACTCGCATGTGTCATTGCCACAGCACCCTCTGCATGTACATCAGACTTAATTAAGTTTTGGCTCTCTGTCATGTGCCCCTGTGGCAGCAAAATGTACAAATTGTGCAACATATAAGAAAGGGAAGATGTGTTGCAAATGTAAACTAGGGAATGCCTTACTGGAAACGTAATAAAACGCCCCGTTAGCGGAACGTATACCCATTATTCTATTAACATTCTGCCATACCCTCGAGAGAAACGCAAGCTAGATGAATGGACATGAGAGCTAGCATCTTGTTTAAATAATTATTGTCTACTTTAAGCACCTTCTAATTGACTTTGTTAATTTTCGAGCATATTTCACTCGAAGAAGAGCTTTAAATTGCAGTCGAGAAAAGCGGGTGGGAGGAAGTGGAATGGAAAGCCAAAACCTAAACCAGAGACGGCCACAGCGCAAAAGGCAGACAATGAAGCGTGAAAAAAGGAAACGGAAATTAAGTGACTGCAGTGCGACCGACTCTCGTCGAGAGAATGACCAGAGCTGCAGAGCTCCAGACCTCGAGCGCCATTGTCGCGTCACTTGCCATGCGGTGGTGGCCATTGTCCACTTCGTTTGCGTGGAGACAAGGCTTGAGGAGGCGGATGATGGCGGTTTGTCTATCCTATCCTATCCTCTCCATTGCTCTGTTCTGCTCTGCGTTCCTTCGACTAGTGCAAATTGCACAGGACGCCAGGGAAGCCTGGGCGTCGCTGGTTTATTTTTCCTAGGGATGATCTTTTTACCTTCTGTCACTTGGTGGGTTGAGGCGGCAGTCCTTGTGCTCGAATTGCTGTGGCTTTAATGGCTCAATCCTAGAATTAAGGTGGAAGGTGAGATGGCGACAGGTATGAGATCTACCCGAACTTACCTCTCCCAGGGGCTAGCAGATGCTGGCATCTGGAAATCATAAAAGCCCACAATAAATCGATCTGAGATTAGGCAAAGAATTTCCAAATAACAGATGTTAGCTGTAAGCCATCGAGGCTTTAGCCACCTACCTGTTACACAGGTAAAGGCTCCGACTACAGGTTACCCTCTGGGTGGTTCGCATATAAATCCAACGCTTCCAAAGCAGAGCACATCAGTCATCAACTGAATCTTAGCAGAGAAGCATCAACAGTAGTTTCCATTCCGAAAATCCATATTCCAACATGCCATTCGACATCATGTACGACGACGAGCCCATTTCGAGCTTTGTGTTCACCAATGAGGCAACGACACAAACATTCCACCATCGCTGGTATGCCCAGGGCCAGATGCACGAGTGTGCCACCTGCTATAGTTGCATAGACGCCGACGAGCCGCCTAGCCAGCACTGGGTACGTGGCGGCGAGAACTCGCAGGGCCTCAAGCTGAGCAAGCAACAGCAGGCCGTGCTCGACATCATCGAGGCGCGCCAGATAGAGACCTTCTTCTTGTGCGACGAGAGCGCCAAGGACAAGCTAGATCACTTCATGGGCGAAACCTGTGCCAGGGGAGTGCCCGAGCTGCTGCGCTGGATGTTCCACAACAACACGTTCAGCGTGGAGTTCAATCTGGCCTGCTACGTGAACGTGATGAACCAGGTGCTGATCTTCCAGAGCGGCAACCTCAGGGTGGATCATCACTATGACATAGAAGAGTGCGTGAGTGTGGTCTACGAGATGATAATGCAAAGGATCGAGAATTACCTGAGCTGCAACAGTGAGCATGGACTGGACGAGTGCAGCATTACCAGAATACGGGTGCAAGTGAAGAGACAGCGGCAGGATGCCGAATCCCCAGCCATGGAGTCATCGTTTGCCCTGCCCCTTCAGCTGAGACAGGAGGAGGGGTCCAGTTCCAGTTCCAGCACTACCAGCGAAGCCGAGCTGACCAGTCTCAAGGCCGCCTACCTGAAGCACTACCGCGAATGCCTCGGTTACTTTCCACCCAACATGCGCGTCAATCTCCATGGCCTGCAGCAGTGCAAAACCACCAAGGAGCTCTATGTAGTGCCGTATCACATCAGCGAGACGCTGCAACAGTTGCCCAATAAGAATTTCCTCATTCTGAACGACATCATGGGCCAGTTCCAGCGACTGCACGAGCTGCCAACTCCCATTATGGGCTCCGCACCAGCGTCAGTGCCACCAACAGCATCGCCGACCTCGCCCACCCGTCCCCTGCAGTGTCGTCGGTGTCGCACTCATTTTACGCGCCGCAGCAAGTTGCACATCCACCAGCAGCTCCACTGCGGCCAGGACTTCTCCGTGGACAGCATGCACGCGGATATTGTCGAGATCTACGAGCAGTGTCTGCCCATTTCTCGCAATGTCTTTCAATACGCCTGCTATGGCATCACCAAGCCCAAGACGGTCATGCGGAAGGGCCAGTTTGTGCCAATCGAGTGCGATTGGCGCAGCGAGAGCTCGGTGAAAGTGCAGCACGGACCGTGCGTGGTCATCAGTAATGCTCAACATAGTAGTCCCTATAAATATTTGTAAATAAATGGTTTATTTTAAGGCACAATCGAGTGGGTTTTTATTTTACATTTACTTATCTGAGTAGTAGGCTGTATATTTGGCACTGGTTTGGGCAGAGTATTCATAAGGCTTTGCTTCTGGAAAAATCAGTCAGTACATTTCAGTCAGACTGTGAGCAAGGACAGAATTCATTTAGTTCAAAATTAAATTTGGCTTTAACACACCGTACAAAATTATCGGACTTCCCCTCCCGCTTCCTGTGTGCCCTGGTCGACGCAACGATGCTCCATCGATGGATAGTCAGTAGTCAGCCAACATGTTGTACCTGGTTCCCAATTCCCGTGTCTGTTCATGGTCCATGGCATTCTCGGCTATCTTTGTCCCCTGAAACTCAACATGGAGCTCCTTGAGCGAGTCGCCTGAGCCTGGAGGACGCTGCAAACGTTAAACTGCTGATGGTTCATGACCAACAGGAGGCAAAAAATGTACAGAAGAAAATCGTATCGGCCACATTTTAGAAGATGATTAATTGAGAAGTTTTTTTAATAAAATATAATAATTCGAGTCTATACAAATACGGTTGCTGTAGTTACTTGTTTATAATGCGGGTAGAAGACTCTTCTGGCTCTTAAAGCCCTTATCCGAGTTATCAGTTTGGTTCTATACCGGATAACTTGATTAACTCATGCACTACTTGCAATCAAACGCCTCGTTCGGATCAGTTTTAATCACCAGCTTACACGCATACTCGTACATTCGAATGCACTGCTGACGGACTGAGGGCCGGTTTACGCACAAAAAAAATCCAAAGTACTAACTTTACCAAAAGCCGCTATCAAAGGGCTATCAACCAAGAGTAAACACTGATAGCATTATCTGAGAGGAAAGGGCATTGGCAATAATTTGCAATTAAATTGGAGGGTGCTCTCCGTTTAAGTAGCCAAAAGAACGAGAACCATCCGAAGCCAAACAATTTCGCATTGCAACCACGAAACAACAATCAAGTAGTATTCGCTATAACGATGCAACACCCACCACCCCACCCACATTCCACCGCCACAAGCCAATTATTGCGGTTACGCTTGGTGTGGCACTAAGCCAAAAACCAAATGGACAGACGGAGATGTTAAAAACAACAGCAATTCCTCTTCTGGCCACTTGCTAATTACCCAGCGGTGTGTGAAGACCGTCATTGAAGCCATGAGTCTTCAATCAATTTGAATTTGATTTAATTGCATTTAATGAAAAGATTTTCGGGTTTAAGCATGTGCAACGAGGAAATATTTTAGGAAATGGTCTGCGTATAAGAACATTTAATAGTCAAGGCAGCGGCAGCCTTGGACAACTCCATTCTGGGGGCACCAGCTCCAAGTGTCACAACACGTAAGTCAACACGTGGAAATTGGATTATTAGAACGGTGCGTGTGCACAATGGAAGACGAGGGAAAACAGCAAATTGGACCAAAAACGCTCGCAGCTATGACAGCTCCAGGAGGAGCAGCAGCAACAAAGCAGCATGTCGATTGGGTAACTAACGAGGCACAAAACGAGGCAAAGCATTCAAGGAATGTGAACAAATTTAAAATTCAACAAAACGATGTCCCGCCGAAAGTACTGCCTGTGGAATGCCAAACAAAAGCATCCATAATTCAGTGGGCACCGAAGTAAAGATGGGGAAAGTTGTCAGAACTAAATTATCTAAGAAATGGGTTTAAAGTCTTTCCAGCTGAAGCTCCAGCTGAAGCTCCTCAGAATATGGCTTGCAAAGGAACAAAGACATGGAGTGCTCAAGCCTGCAAGTAAGCACTCCTTCAAAATGGGCCAGAAGGCTAACCCAAGTCGGCCCACGGCCGCAAAGAAATCCGATGGCCATCCCCAAGCATCCAGGCTTCAGCTGGAAGACTCTCCAAGACATCATAGGGAGATCAGTGTACTAAGGATAAGGCATGGGCATTATAAAAACAATAAATAAACAGTTATGTGAAACTTATTAACAAATGCAAAACCATTCATATTGACCCTCCTTTCGTTGATGGAGGTATCCCTATGCACTATATGGTAATATCAGAGCACCCGCCAGGGTGGGGAAACGTCTCCACGGACAGAGACACTGGCCAGACGACAACAAGTGCGAAATATGGCCTTCCATCCATTTTAGCTTTAACTTTAAAGCCATTTCTCAATGAGCGAGCCCAGGGCAGGCTGTCAGATCGTATATCGCAAATCGATTTTTCCTTCTCGGCTATTTTTTTTTCGGCTATAAATTACATGTCGTCCCTCGTCAAAGTTGCCTTGCGCTGTCCTTCACAGGGAATTGGGTGGAATTTGTGCACTTAGTTCCAGCGCCTCATTATGGCCGTCACGGCGGTGGTAATCCTAATGCGTTGTAATAATAATTCAAATATTCCGGAGAACGGACACATTAGTTCCGCCATTTTGAACAGGCGGCAGAACACTGTGTGATAAACGATGGACCAACCAACAGGTTGTGACAAGTGGATTCGGCGGTCCAATTTGTAGGCACTTCATAAATGTCTAGGGGAAAGTTATTAAATGATCATTTCGTTGGAAATGTTACGCGCCAGAATGATTGATAGCCCAGTGAAGCCCCTACGCACAATCGGAAGACACGAGAGAGCCCATAAAACGCTTTCGGCGAATGCCCATCAAGTAGCGATACAATAAATAATACAATAGTCAGAAACATTTGACAGAGCATCCATAAAAGTGCCGAAAGAACCAAAGAGGACTCCTACCAACTCCACAATCGTCTGTGTGTATGGAGCTCCTGCTCATTCAAATTGTAGCCATGTTCACATAAAGAGCAGACAAAAGACATAAAGTAAATGAAGCGCCACACAAAATGCAGACGAGATGAGTAGTACATACATATGTACATATATGTATATATATGTAGAGCTGCTCCGAGCCACTAGCAGACGATGTGACGAGTATTTTCATTCTATTTCCATTTGCACATTCTCGTAACTCAGTTGCCATTCAAAAGCGAAATCCAAATCAATTGTTACACACAATGAAAACAGTTTTTCCTGCACAATAAATGCGAGCATATAGATATACATAAGTCTGTGCAGCATTCTCTGGATACCAAACAGTGCAAAGCTCTCTTTGGGGAGCCTTTCGGCTTTAATATAAAAATAATCATTTAAGCAAGATCCCAGGACTCAATCCGGCGCTTGCCTGTCAGCAGCAAAGGAGAACAATAGACTACTGACTACTGACGGCTACATGTGATTGCTTGAGTAAATTGTATGACTGACTGGCAACTGGCAACTGGTAACTGGCAAGTTGTCAAGATAAGGTCTAACATCAATCGGGGCTGTTTGGCAGACACTCCATAGAAAGCTTAACCTTGAAATGCATGAATACCGGAATGGTTATTGTGTCTGGCTACGACATGAGAAGTGTACAAGTGAATTCTCAATGTGTCAAAATTGTGGTGTTGCGAGATAAGTATTTATAGAATTGAATACCTTTAAGCCAAAATACAGAAAATAATGCGACAATTGTGTGCATTGTGTGTGTGTGTGTGTGTGTGTGTGTGGGAGATGAATCATTATTGCACGAAACCAATGGAAAAACAAATGAATTTAAGAGTTGGAATATAAAATGTCCATAGCAGCCCATTCATCACTCTGATTACTTTTCCCCATTTAATCCGTATACGAGTAGAGAACAGACTATGAGTTCCTTGGAGTAAAAACGAAACCCATTCCAATCCACACTCTAATAGACAATGAACCCGTCCAACCATTTCAATACTTCAGCATCAGTGCCATGAATATAGATTGCGTGCAGTGACGCACACGCGAATCGGTACGGTTACGGGTACTGGTACGGGTACTGGTACGGGTGCGGGGATAGAGAAAGGCATTCATACATGACATTTTAATACCCATATGAATGGTAATCAAAATGAACAAAAAAAAAAAACTCAAAGTTCGCGAGGCACACACGAGACAAAAGGGATATTAATTTCGACAGGACTTTAGCCTTCATCTGCGATGATGCTTGGCTGGAGAATCATCTGGAATTGAGATGTACAATCATGTTAACAAACAATTGTCAAATTGGCGTCCTGTCAAATGGAGCTTATTAGCATAAATTGCTTTTTAATGTCGAAAATTGCTTGGCGAAAGCATTAGCATCTGCCTACGATTATCACATGCTCCTCCTGCATTTGATTTTCAATGGCAGTCTGGCAGCCATATTTCAGCTCGGCGCAGACAAGCGGACCAAAGAACCCTTAAGTGATTTGTTTGTTCAAGAGGAATTGATTGCAACGAAAGCCGAGACAGACACACAGTCAGGCAACGCAAAGACAAAGGCAGCCCAGCCAGCTGTGGCGTAAGAACCTGAATCCGAATCAGCAACAGAACCCAGACAGGCACCGATATACCCGCCCTTGGGGGCGGTTCGTATAAATCCATCCATCCATTCGACCCACAGCACACACACACACTGGCAAGTGTGAATTTGCCATTTTTATGGTTTAAGTGTCGCGTCATTATAATTCAGTTGGAATGCATGGCATTCGGACCATTTGAATGGTTTATGGGAGACACATTAAAAGTTCTCCCTGCACATATTTGTTTTAGAAATATATATCACCCACAAAAGGCAATCAAGATAACATGAAAAACATCTGACGCAGTTGATAAAGTGCTTTCAAATGGTATGGGGAATACTACGGAATTGTCTGATTAACGAAAACGTATATGGATTTAATGCTAAACAGACTAAAAAAAGAGAGATTCAACCGAAGATAGGAAGCGAGAGAAGTTTAATTTTGTTATTCAAAACACATTCAAACGATAAATCGTTTCAGGAACTTAACCAGAACTGCCATGTGCTTAATTCAATTTCTTCGTTGCAACTGAAATTATTAAAATTTAAGCTTTAGTATGCCCAAACGATGCATATATGTATATAGACTAATAAGCTCACCCCACATGTTTCCTATTATTAGAGGGCAAGAATTGTGCAGGACACTCCAATCGGTGTTCCGCCATAGCAGCAAAGAACCTTTCTGCGGCTTCACGCGTAAGCTGAGAAAGGGGAAGACTGTCTCTCCGCCTTGCTGCACGTTGCTCATCTGTTAAAAAGGTTGAGTTCAATTAAATACAGCTCCAAAAGTTTAAAAGATCCTTACAAAAATTAATGCTGTAGCTGCAGAGCCCGCACTGTCATCAAGATCATATCTGCCAGCAATCCCATAATTGACAACCTGTAGCACTTCCTTTTCGTTCATATCCATTCCACTAACATCCTGAATGCGTCGATTCACAGTGCGAATGATATCTTGGGCAGAGTTCGACAACTGGGCTATCTTGCAGGTGAAATTGCTTGAAATTTTTTGGCGTTTCAGTCTGGGTCTAGCTAAACTCTTCAATGCCTCAATTTCCTCATGGTTGAAGAGATCGTGATATAGGTAAACGTGCGCTTCGTTATCCAAATTCTCTTGTCTGATGGGTGCAAGCTGTAGAAACGGCGTGGATCGTAGGTAGCGACAATGGACATCATTTACTTTTCGAGGATACGACATTGCACACAAGGTTTTTAGATTGTGTAGGTGCAAAACATCTTCTTCTGGTTGGGAACGTTTAAAGGGCTGACTTTCCAGCAGCTGCAGCTTGGACAACTGCTTCAGCATATACTGGTTATCGGGCTGAATGGAAAGTACTTCGTGGGCATGCTCAATAGATGCGGAAAAACGTCCTACGATACGGGAAGGAAATCAAATTCATATTCAAAAGTTATTCTGTACAAATGTTCAACTAACCAAATCCCTTTGTGGCCTCAACAAGCATTTCCAAAATAGTTATATATTTCATGACCATTGTGTCAAACTGTTTTTGATTGCGATGGGCATCATAGTAAAAGAGAGCCAATTCCAGCCAATATTCGGCTGTCTCGTAGTGTTTGATATACAGATTTACCAGACCGAACATGAAACACTCGCTCGGTCCCCACTTCTTACGACTGAAAGGAATCGAAAGGATTGAAACCAGAAAGCATAGAGTTTTATCATCATACCTGTAGCGTTTGCCACGCAATATCCCGCCTGCCATGTCTCCGGGATCCAAGCTATAAACGGTTTGGAGCTTATAAATAGCTCCTAGAGCTTCCTCAAAATCAATGCCAGTGGGCTGCTCGTGTAATCGAGACTGGGACATGGCAATCTCTTTGGAGCCCAATACTTTTTGCATCAGTTTGAAATATTGCGGCCAATCCCAGTACATGTGACGAATGAGCCTGAACTGATGCCACAAATTGTGCCCAGGCTTTGCTGTTAGTGCGCTCAACAGATCCTCCGCATGCTTTATGGCTCTGTAAAATGTGCGACGATTCAGTTTTTGTTTGATTTAACTACATGTTGGTTGTACATACAGATGCACTTGCTTCAGGTGAATCTTCAACGCTTCCTCATAGCTTTTAAAATTATTCACATATGCTTCTTTCAGTTTTATCATGGGTAGCAGAGATTCCAAGGATATGGTAATGTCGTGCGACTTGGCTTCATATTGAAGCTGTGCCCCAGCTTGGAGACAAACAGCCGCCATCAGAAACAGAAAGAACAGGCACAATTTAACCATGGCAATGACTAATTAAAACTGATCTGAACACCTATATGAAAGACGAACTTCCTGAGAAGCTTGGCTAATATGTTTTCATTATGCTTCATGCTTGATTATTTCCCAAATCTGAGCTACGTTACAATTATTTCCAGCTTTTCCAAATTTTTGTCACGCCATCCTTGCATCAATATCCCCAATCATACTCAGGGGGAGTGTGTTTGCAACTGAAAAATCGCCCAATCAAATCAGATATTAAATTAACAGAGATTCAAGAACTTATTGCACTTACAGGAATGGGTAGCAAAGATTCCCGGGATCTGTAATCATCCGTCTCTCCCTTAGCCTGGAGGCAAACAACAGCCATTAGAAGCAGGAAGAACAGGCACAATTTAACCATGGCAATAACAAATTTTAACTGACTTGAAAATCTGTATGAATCACTTGGTGAGACGCTTGGCTAATATGATTTCTGTATGCTTCATGCTTCGATATTTCCGCGGTGTCTTAACCTTGAGAGTATAGAGGAGGATTACCCAGTTTGGCTACACCACAAGGGGACCCTTCTTCGTGAGAATGCACAGGCTGAGAGGGGAAAAAGCCTAGAAAGTTCGGTAAGTAAGCTAGTACACAAAGCATTCGATGATAAAAATGGTTTAAATACATTACATACATAGATCAATGGTGCAATGACGCGATCACCGGACTCCCTTTCATGTTCTCCTCTATAATTTCAAAAGTCCGTGGCTTATCTGCAGCCCTTCTGTCTAGATGGCTTTTCCCACACCTTCACATAGACCAGTGAAGATTCTTGACCGATGCTTGCTTCACTTGCTGCAAAGGCCTCAAGAAAGGTATCATGCCAGGCAGGTTTCGCTGGTACTTCAATGTCAAACCTTGGCACCTACTAAGAAAGCACCTACCTACACCAAACCTACTTAAAACTGTAGAAAATTAAATGACCTAAGCAATTAGTTGCACTTTAATTACATATACTCCCGGTACTTTACTTAAAATTTTTGTTGTTCTTGGATATGAAGCCAAGTTAATTTTTAAAAAAATTTTTGTACATAGTTTAGGGATCACCACCGAATAAACTATTCTATCTGTTTCGTAGCAACTAAAAAGAGACGAATCAAAGGGTTACGATGTCATGGAAATGATATTTCAGACTTACCCCACTTATTCCCCACAATGACGGGACACTCAATGTGGTAATCGCCTGTCCTGGGCCACACCAGAAGCGAACCCTTTTGTGGAGTGACCCGTAGATTTAGAGAGGGAAAATGTATTTCACCTCCTTGCCTGACATTACTCAGCTAAAATGGCGGAGGAGTTATTATAGATGGTTTCATACATCATCAACTGTGTACTCACATAAAGCAAGGCAGTGACGACAGCTGTATCCCCTGGAGGAGGCTCTAAGAAGTGTCCGCCAATGCCAAAGTTCCTGACTTGCAGATCATCGAACTGAGGCGAGCTGGAGCCGCTGGCTTGGTGTATCCTTCTATTCAAGGAGCTAATTATCTTATGCATTGAGCTGCTTAGTTCTGCTGATTGCCAGGGGCGTGTGGCCGTGTAGTCCGTGAAACTGTCGATTTCCCTGTATGTTATTTTGTTCCGTTTCAAAAGCGGACTTGCCAAACGCCTGACCATAGCCAGTTCTTCATCGCTGAGGATATCATGATATAAACTGATGAGTGGCATAAGAGAAAGTTCTTCAATTTTAAGCGGCGCTAAGCGAAGAAAATCCACTCCCCTCATGTAACGACAGTGCAGCCTGCCAGCAGGCGGTGACTGATGCTGGCGGCACAATCTCTTGAGTAGCTTCGCATCCACATCTATGGGTAATGATGATTTTGGTTTTTGCTCATCTGATTTCGTACCAAGTTCTTGTACTTTGTCTTGGAAGAATTTATCGTAAGGCTGAAGTACCAATAGTTCTTTCGCATGTTCCAAAGCAGCCTCAAATTTACCTGGAAAAGGTAATCTTTTGATGGAAAATCACTTTCTTAATGGAAATATGCTTTACCCAAGCCAATGTTGGCAAGCATCAAGTACTCCAATACGTGGTCATAGGTCCAGTGACGGAATCCTAGCTGTCTGGGATTGGGATGTCGCCTGTAACTGTCCCGCGTCAGTGTCAGCCAAGCATCAGCGTCCTTGTAATACCCTTGAAGTTGACAAAAAACTCCCAGCACGAATGTCTCAAAAGCTCCCCACCGCTTAACGCTGTTAAATTATAGTATTTGGTATATACGTAGGCTCTTATAACTATCCATCCACTCACTTGTACTGTCTGCCGTGTAGGTTTCCTCTGGCTATGTCCGCGGGTTCCAAATCCCAAGTATACTGTATGCGCTGGAGCCCCTTGAGAGCCTCCACAAGATCCATATTTGTGGGCATTTGTGGTTGCAGTTCCTTTAGAATCTGTATCTGTATCTGTTCCTTGGGGGCACGCATAACACTAAGCCACTTGGCCCAATCCAGATGCATGTGACGTATCACAGAGAACTGATGCATTAAATTCATCGAATTTAAGGTCGCTTTCCTTTGCAGATCCTCATACATTCGAATGGCTCTAGAAATATTTTGTTTATTTTAAATTTCATATTAAATTTTGATTGACTCACAGTTGGACATCTGCCATTTGCTGTTGCAAAGTTTGGGCATAGCTGCGAAGGTTTGCCACCGTCTTTTCCTGCAGTTTCAAAAGCGGCAGCAAGGCCTCTAGTGATACAGAAAATCCAAAGGTGGGTGGTATATATCGCTCAGCATTGATGCAGGTGCCCAGAGCTGAAAACAAGAAAGGCAACAAGAAAGCAAACTTGATCATTGCAGCGACTGTACAGGTTATGATCATATACTTAAAAGATCTATACTGAAACGAACTGAATTACCCTAACGAAAGCATTCGCCAGGGCAATATCTCTGGCCTCAATGTGGCATGAGTTTTATAAACAGTTGATGGGCTGATTTCCAAAGTTAGCAACATGTGGCATTGCTTATTGTTCTTCCTCTGCTTCATCTTACATAAACTGCCTCGAGTTCAAATGGAATTCATGACAGATCATGCCCAGTCCACAGCTTCCATGATAAGTCTAGTGGAGATGGAAAGTGTGTTCATTAAACAGCTAGACAGATACTCGGACGACTTGGAGTGGAAAATCAACACCATGGAGAGGTTGTTTTCAATTATTCTTAAAGATTTTTAACCGATCTTCTTCCGCTCAGCTTTCTTGCCGAAGTGCAGCTGAAAAGGGTGCCTTGGAAGCATACTCCGGAGGAGTATGTTGCTCATCCGTTGACCAGTTTCTCGCTCATACGACGCCTACATGAGGATTGGAGCCATATGGAGATATTTATGTCACATCGTGTGGGCTTGGATAGTCTCAACAAAATTCAGAGTATACTAGATATGGCCAAGCCCACGGAACAGGACCTTCAAGATGCCCTCAGCGGCATAGACGTTATCCAGAGTCACTATGATCTAGAGCCAACGGATATAGCCAATGGAGTGCTGAATGGACGGCAATACAAGTAGGTTGAATGCCTATGCTCCTTCATATTTGTACATGGTTCTGTTTAGCACTACCATGACGACACTCGAGTGCCTGGCTATGGTTAAATTTCACGAAAGTAACCAACAGATGCATTCGGCAATTGGATGGTATGAGGCAGCGCTACAGCGCTACGATGGGGCCAGAGATGGTCATCTCTACAGAGAAGTTTTAAATTTTAAACTATCCGATTTTTATGGTAGTTATGCTCGTGCCTTGGCCGCAAGAGGTAGGTTAGGTTTACAGCATTATTCCATTGCCTTTCAATTGGGTTTCCTCCGCAAAACAGGCTTGTGGAAGCCCGCATTAGCCCTACTGGAGAATGTATCCGACTTGCATGCTGATCTCTGGCTACTGCAGCGTCAGTTGAGGAATCTAATGGACCTGCATGAGCGCCACGAAACAGTAAGTCTGAAAAAAGGGTCCATATTTGCATAATTTCTTTGGTTCTTCATTCCAGTATGTGAAAAAAGATCCAAACACCGAAATGATCGCTTGTCTTGGTTTATATACACCCATCAGAAATCGTAGCTGTCACTACGAGTCTACTAGAACAGCATTCGTTCGGCTTGCCCCGCTCAAGGTGGAGATGCTTAGCCTCGATCCCTATATAGCCATCTACCACGATGTCATTTACGAGAGAGAGATCGCTCGTGTCATGACGCTAGCACTATCTTCACTCAAGGGTCCTGGCCGCTATAGTAAGCGGCGGGAGCACAATATAAAGTCTGTGACGGTGTACGAGGAGGAGAACAGCCAACTGAACCAACGTACTAGGGATATGACTGGGGAACAAGTGAAAGAAGACAAGGACTTTCGTATCTACAATTCTGGAATAGGTGGCTATATACGATACCATATGGATAACTTGGCGAAAGAAGAGCAACAGGTATCTTAAAACTTGAAACACAAAAGAAGGGAATGTTCTTATAATATTCGTATCCTTTAGCCTGGCTTTGGGGATTACCAGACAACAATTATGTTTTTTGTAAGTATTAAGAGCATTTCCTTTTCTGTCTTTAATCTTAATTAATCCCCAATTTAGTTAAATGAAGTGCCACACGGCGGCGCCATTTCATTTCCACAACTGGAATTTACTGTCTGGCCTCGAAAGGGCAGTGCTCTGGTGTGGCACAATCTGAATAATAATTTGGAGCTCGACTATCGTGTTGCACACATCTCATGCCCTGTCATAGTGGGCTCCAAGTGGAGTAAGTTTTTCCCATTAACATTCATTCAAAAATTCAATTTCACTTAATTTTCAGCCCTAGTAAAGTGGCTGCATGAGGAGCACCAAAGGTTTACATAGACCCTGGCAAAAGCACGTGACTAAATCACTAAATCATAGCCGTGAAATGGATAATTTTCCAACGCTTTCTGCTTCTTAATGGGTACTTTTTTTTTTTAGCCAGTTTAAGTTTGTTTCTTAACCCGTTTGAAACTCTATTAAAATGACCAGACTTTTCGCCTATATTTGCCTTATAGTTTTAGTCCAAGACAGTCACTCTGTTGATCCGGCAAACTATTTTAAAGATTACTACAGTTCTTCGGTTTTGGGATTGCTGAATCTATTTGAGCTTGAGCGAGAATTTATGGACAATTTCATAGTCTACGCAGATGTCCTGCAAGAGAAGGTTGACAACCTGAAAATGTGAGTGAAGGCAACCCCGGTGGTCCAAAAAACATTTCCATTTATTTCAGGTACATCGATTCTTTGGATCGTGGTATGCATGAAAACCACAAGGAACGGGAAGGCTTTGTCTCCAATCCACTCAACGCCTTTGGACTAATCCGTCGCTTGCATCAGGAATGGCCCAAGTGGCAGAACTACACCAAGAAGCCCCTGGGTGTGGCACAGCTAACTGCGATGGAAGAGCTACTGTCTAAAGCGCCTGAACCTTACGACATGACAGAGTCCCTGAAGTCAATGGATCGAATTGAGAGAGCTTATGACCTCCCAGCCAGCCACATAGCCAGGGGCCTGCTGCAGAACAAACAATACGAGTAAGTGATCGATGGAATCGATCATTCGGTCGAATACCCTGCTGAATCAGCAGATCACTTTTGAACAGCACTCAACTATCAGTCCGGGACTGCTTGGCCTTGGCACAGCACAAATACGAATCCGGCGACTATATACGTGCCTCGATGTGGTATCGCGAAGCCCTGCGCCACAATGGCGAACCCAACGCCGAGATTATTAACAGCGTTCTGGGCAATCCACTCGATGGTGTGGATCTTCAGTTTGCCAGAACCATTGTCATACGCGGTGAGTGTTGAAGGGAAGCAAGCTTTGAGCCAAAGATCTGCAGGTTTTCATTTGACAGGCCTTGGTTTGTCGGATCATTCGATGAGCAGGGAAACGATTCACGAATTAGCCAGCAACTTTTTGAACCAGTCTAGTCCACGAGATGTGAAGATATTCATCAGCCATTATCTCAGACAAAGTGATGAGCAAATAGGCAATGAACTGGGTACCGTCCAGACGCCGCCAACTGCCCACGAATCTGGATGTCGCGGACTGTTTCCCAAACGCACGAATCTCGTCTGTCGCTACAACAGCACCACGACACCTTTCCTAAGACTGGCCCCCCTGAAAATGGAGGAGGTTAATCACGATCCTTATATCGTTATGTACCACCAAGTTCTATCCGACCGAGAAATGGAGGAAATGAAGCAACTGGCACGGCCAATGACCAATGGAATGTCGGGGTCTGAAATGGCGAATTTAACAGAGCCCCTCGAAATAGTGGCACGCGTCGCATGGCTGATTGAAGCGTCGCCGTTCAGGGAGCGGCTCAATCTCCGCATCGGCGACATGACGGGCTTCGATGTGAGTGACTTTAAAGCCCTCCAATTGGCCAACTTTGGGGTGGGCTCCTACTTCAAGGCGCACTATGACTACCGCACCGAACGCGTCAACGACTTGGGCGTCACAGAGTTGGGCGATCGCACGGGCAGCATCATCTTTTATGTCAGTCGATATCGTTTCCCTTCCGCACATATATTCACACCTTAAATCCCCTGCAGGCCAGCGAAGTGCCCCAAGGTGGCACCACGATATTCCCCGACATCCAGGTGACGGTCACACCTCAGAAAGGAAACAGCTTGTTCTGGTTCAACACATTCGATGACTCGACCCCAGACCCGCGATCCCTGCACGCCATATGCCCTGTCATAGCCGGTTCCAGATGGAGTGAGATTTCCCAATAAGTTCCCAGGGACTAGAGACCATCTCATTCGATTGCCTTCTTACAGCAATTACCAAATGGCTCCACCAATGGCCACAAATGTTTCTGAAGCCCTGTAGTCCGCGGGCAGTGGAACGGACGTCTTAAATTGCAATTTTCCTCCTTTCTATGGCATGTAAATAAAGTTGGAAATTCCAGAGAAATTCCATATCAAAACAAATATAATCTTAGCTAATTCGTGTAGCTAATTTGTTCTAATGAAATGGCATTTAGTTTATCATCTACTCAGTAAAAATGCAACGTCGTCTGAACCTTATCACAGCTCTTCTTGTCTTAGGTCAAACTATTGGCAGGGGTATGCCAGATCGACCTTACGATGAGCATAGGGAACGGTACAGCTCCTCCACAGTGGGCTTGTTAAAGCTGTTGGAACTAGAGATGCAGTTTATAGAGAACCTGAAAAACTACACAGATTTACTGTCCGCTAAAGCTAATACTTTGCAAGAGTGAGTAAATGTGGTTGAAAAAGATTCAATTGCTAATGAAATCCATCATCTCTTAAGTCTTATAGACTCTGTGGATCGGGGAACGGAGAAAACCCTAACTGAACGCGAGAAATACGTATACAATCCCTTGAATGCCTTTGGACTGATGAGACGCACGCATCAGGATTGGCCCAAATGGCACCACTACATAAATACGACTGTGGGAAGGGGTAAGGAATAATTTCAAGACATTCGATGAATCTCTAATAAAAACATTCCAAATAGTCGAGCTCCAAGCACTGGATGATATTCTGGGCAAGGCACCGGACAGTCAGGATATGAAGGAGGCCCTGATAGGTATGAATCGGATAGAAAGGACCTATGCTCTGGAAGCTAAAGACCTGGCCAAGGGTCGTCTGCTGGACAAGCAATACGAGTGAATATCCCATAGCTAAGAAAACCACCCAAAACCTAACCCCATCCCCACATCAGCATTCAACTATCCATTCGGGACTGCCTGTCCCTTGGTCAGCACAAGTTCCAAGAAGGCGACTACTTCCGTGCTTCTATGTGGTACCGAATGGCAATCAAACACCAGCCCGAACCGAATGCTAAGGAATTCAACACGATTCTGGGGGATCCACTCAAGGACTTGAAGCAGAACTATGCCAAAGCCACCATTATACATGGTATGTGCTGGAAAACGCTTCCTGCTATTCACTTAATCCTTTTAAATTCCAGGACTAAGCGCAGGAAATCAATCTCTGAGCATCCAAAAGGTTCTGGATATAACAGAGGCAACGATACAAAAGGCTAGTCCAGCAGATCTGGAGGCATTTATAGCGGAGTTGCTGAATCAAACAGATGATGATATGGCGAGAGAAATGTCTGCCTTTGAGCCTTCACCCACCCCCTACGAAATCGGTTGTCGCGGACTCTTCCCAAAGCGCACGAATCTCGTCTGTCGATACAACTTCACCACGACACCATTCCTGAGACTAGCACCCCTTAAAATGGAGGAAGTGAACCACGATCCTTACATCGTTTTGTACCACGAAGTTCTATACGATAGGGAGATCGAGGAACTCAAGAAGCAGTCGAAGAATATGATCAATGGATTTTCAGAGCCACAGCAGGAGAATAAGATCAGGGAGATCATAGCGCGTCATGCTTGGTGGTGGGAGCAGACGACGACCAGGGCGCGCATCTATCAACGGATCACAGACATTACAGGCTTCCAATTATTTGTACAGGAGGAGCTAAATGTCGCCAATTACGGTCTAGGCACTATATTCGGGCCACACTACGACTACACGCCCGAAAATTATGATATTGGCTGGTTTATGGGCGGTCCCTTGGGCACCATACTCTTCTATGTAAGTATTTTACGACCTTTCGTACCAGAGATCCTTTAAAATTTCCTTTTCAATGTTCAACAGGCAGGCGATCTGCAGCAAGGTGGGGCCACTATCTTTCCATTAATCAATATCACTGTGTCTCCCAGAAAGGGTAGCGCCTTGCTCTGGTTTAATTTATACGATGACGGCGAACCAGATCCACGTACTCTGCACTCTTCATGCCCTGTAATCGAAGGGGATAGATGGAGTAGGTGGCCCAATCTCAGGTTTTCTTGATTTCACATTTGTGCCTTCCATTTCAGCTCTCACCAAGTGGGTGCACTTGGTTCCTCAGATGTTTATCCTGCCCTGCCAGACAAGGAAAGTGTCTCAAAAAGTGTAAATAAATAGTTTCCATAAATGTGCAATGCATGTAATAAGAAGTCCTAGAAGAAAAGGAAGACAAATCAACCAGATATCCCCATCATAATATTGTTATAAAGTCTATTAACCATCTACGGGAACTAAAGATATATAAATAAATTAGTGAAGCAGAACGGATCTGGTTCTTTGGATTTCGTATGGAAGCAACGTCTCCTTTGATGCATATGGAATCAATTATCTAGACATTAACGACATTGGCCTGCTTTTAGTAGAACGAGTCAGTCAGTCAGTCAGAGAGTAGTCACTCTAGTCAGTAATAATGAAACAGTTTCTAAGTTTGCTCACAGCTCTACTTTTTTTAAGTCCCATTATTGGCGAGGACGTTGAGGAGAAGCCATACAATGAGAATAGGGAACGGTATAGCTCCTCCACAGTGGGATTGTTAAAGCTGTTGGAACTAGAGATGCAGTTTATAGAGAACCTGAAAAACTACACAGATCTACTGTCTGCTAAAGCTAATACATTACAAGAGTGAGTAAATGTGCTTTAAAAAGACTCCATTGCTAAGGAAATCCATAATCTCTTAAGTCTAATAGACTCTGTGGATCGGGGAATGGAGAGAACCCTAGCTGAACGCGAGAAATACGTATCCAATCCCTTGAATGGCTTTGGACTGATGAGACGCACGCATCAGGATTGGCCCAAATGGCACCACTACATAAATACGACTGTGGGAAGGGGTAAGGAATAATTTCAAGACATTCGATGAATCTCTAGTAAAAACATTCCAAATAGTCGAGCTCCAAGCACTGGATGATATTCTGGGCAAGGCACCGGACAGTCAGGATATGAAGGAGGCCCTGATAGGTATGAATCGGATAGAAAGGACCTATGCTCTGGAAGCTAAAGACCTGGCCAAGGGTCGTCTGCTGGACAAGCAATACGAGTGAATATCCCATAGCTAAGAAAACCATCCAAAACCTAACCCCATCCCCACCTCAGCATTCAACTATCCATTCGGGACTGCCTGTCCCTTGGCCAGCACAAGTTCCAAGAAGGCGACTACTTCCGTGCTTCTATGTGGTACCGAATGGCAATCAAACACGAGCCCGAACCGAATGCTAAGGAATTCAACACGATTCTGGGGGATCCACTCAAGGACTTGAAGCAGAACTATGCCAAAGCCACCATTATACATGGTATGTGCTGGAAAACGCTACCTTCTATTCACTAAATCCTTTTAATTTCCAGGACTAAGCGCAGGAAATCTATCTCTGAGCATCCAAAATGTTCTAGATATAACAGAGGCAACGATACAAAAGGCTAGTCCAGCAGATCTGGAGGCATTTATAGCGGAGTTGCTGAATCAAACAGATGATGAAATGTCGAGAGAAATGTCTGCCTTTGAGCCTTCACCCACCGCCTACGAAATCGGTTGTCGCGGACTCTTCCCAAAGCGCACGAATCTCGTCTGTCGATACAACTTCACTACGACACCATTCCTGAGGCTGGCCCCGCTAAAAATGGAGGAGGTGAACCACGATCCTTATATCGTTATGTACCACGAAGTTCTTTCGGACCGAGAAATTGAGGAAATGAAGGGGCGATCTGGGCAGATGAGTAATGGCTGGGCAGACCAAAAGGAGGCGAATAGTACAAAGATCAGGGACATCGTATGTCGTCATACCTGGTGGAGGGAACAGTCGGCCATCAAGGAGCGCGTTAATCGACGCATATCAGATATGACGAACTTCGATTTCCCACCGCAGGAGGATCTGCAGGTGGCCAATTATGGCCTGGGCACCCACTTCAAGCCCCACTACGACTACACTTCCGATGGCTACGAGACCCCGGATGTTCTAACCTTGGGCGATCGATTGGGCAGCATTATCTTCTATGTAGGTACTTGCCGTGCTTCGCGGAAGATTTCTACAGTTTCGCTTCCATCTTCCACAGGCTAGCGATGTGCCGCAAGGTGGTGCCACCGTCTTTCCTCGCAGTCGTGTCTCGATTTTCCCCCGAAAGGGTAGCAGCGTGTTCTGGTATAATTTGTACGACGATGGCCGGATAGATACTCGTAGTCAGCATTCGGTATGCCCTGTAATCGTAGGGGATAGATGGAGTAGGTCCACTATATTATTGGTATTTTTGCATTATATAATATGTATACACATTTTTCCAGCTCTCACCAAATGGCTGCATATTGTCCCTCAAATGTTTGTCATGCCTTGCAAACCGCGGAAGAACGAAAAAAGTCCATAATATAATACAATGAATATTACACTTTTTTTATGGTTAAAATCACCTGAAAATATAGAAAATAAATATCAGATCAAGCTTAACAAATAAATATAACTGATACCTTTTTAGAGCCAGAGGATAGATTTCTTCTGAAAATATCAAAAGGTCAATCTTTGCATAGGTACCTACGAATTCGTAGATAACCCAGAATCCCAAAGTGTTCGAGGAACAAGGAAATGCAGTAAACTCTAACTAACGAACCATGGAAATTGAGATTTTAGATGGTAAGTGTGAAGAAATTAAAGCGAAAATGTGGCAGTTGTAGACCAAAGTCAAGATGAAGATGAGGTTCCTGTTCAAACTCAATTTGCTAGTGCTACTTTTACATCAAAATCTTGCCATAGAAGATACACAGATGGAAGACACAGAGATGATTTACAGCTCCTCTGTGCTGAGCATGGTGAAGCTTTTGGAAATGGAAGATTCTTTAAAAGACAACCTGGAGTCCTATGTCCAAGTTATGCAAACAAAATTGGATTCTATAAAACTGTAAGTCATGGTAGGCACTATTTAACATATATCAGAGGTTACCATTCCATTTGCAGTTTTCAACAGATGCTGCAGAGGGAAACCATGACAACTCTAGAGGAAAGGGAGGAATTTATGGGAAATCCGCTCAATGCATTTCCCCTGCTGCGACGCCTCAATCAGGATTGGCCCAAGTGGCTGAAATATTTAAGGACGGCCATAGCCACCAAGACCACGAACGCAATGGAAAAGAAATTGAAATCAGGACCAAGTAACGAGGATCTTCAAGTGGCACTCAAAGGATTCGCGCGCATCGAAAGTTTCTACGATCAGGAGGCAGCGGACATGGCCAAGGGTGACCTATTAGGACAACACTTTGGGTGAGTTAAACCTACTATACTTCCCCTCCAAATGCAAAACGTAAATGAACTGTTCTTTCAGCTCTCAACTGACTGCTCCCGATTGCTTTGCTCTGGCTGACTTTTACTACAATCAAACGCAATTCGCCAGATGCACGCCTTGGTATCGCACGGCCCTCAGAATACACCAGAGTTCTGAGGGGAAACTTTATGAAAAGGTTTTGGGGCTGAAGCGGAAAAAGATCTACAAGAAGTATGCCAAGGCCTTGGTCATGGAGGGTAAGCCATCGGGTTGCTTATAAAATAATTACAATTAGTCCAGTCTCTCTTCTTAGCCTTCTATTTGGCTATGCCAAACAAGATAAATCCCGAATGGGAGACACTCGCCAATCAAGTGGCGGTCGAGGCCAACTATCGGAGCACCAAAGACGCCATAGACGAATACCTTGCCGGAGATGCGGATATCTTACAGCAGGAGGCTGCTAAGCACAAGCCCAAACCATCCAGGCTAGAGCGCGGCTGTCGTGGACAGTGGCAGAGGAAGTCCTCCCCTCCACTAGCCTGCAGATATAACCGAGAGTACTCTGCCTTTCTTTTACTAGCTCCACTCAAAATGGAAGTCCTTAACCAGCAACCGCTGATAGTTCTCTACCACGAGGTACTCTACGAGAAAGAATTGAGAGCAATGCGGGATATAGCCAACAAAAATGCCACCATGCAGGATGGCTGGACTCGGATGCACTTTGATCAGCGGGTCAAGCCAGAGCCTGAGGATCGGGTGTTGAAGCTGCACATCTTCCAGGGAAACTCCGAGTCGTTCTCCCCAAGCATCAATCGCCGCATAGCGGACATGACCGGGCTGGAGGTGCAGGGGAACAACGCCTTGCACTTGTCCAACTATGGTCTGGGTGGATATTTTAATGCCCATTATGATTATGTGGACCTAACCAAACGTCCAGTTAGTAAGTTCCTTCTTAGCAAGGCAATTTTACCCATGCAGATCCTTCTTTACAGGCAAACTACTTTACTGAAAGGGGAGGCGATGTCTTGGCCACAGTTCTACTCTACGTAAGTGATCTGAATCTGAACGATGAAGGAATCTTTTTGAGTTGTTTCCCCATCCTTTTCAGGCAAGCGACGTTCGGCTGGGAGGAGCCGTGGTTTTTCCCAAATTAAAGATTTCTGTAGAGCCCAAAAAAGGGAATGCCTTGATCTGGGACAACCTGAACAACGCTGGCGATCCCGATAAGCTTTCAAAGCACGTAGTATGCCCTGTTGTCATGGGTTCTCGTTGGAGTAAGTTAAGGATCATAATCTGCAAAGATAATATCGAATATCACCATTTTTGTTTACTATTTTAAAGCAATTTACAAATGGATTAACGAACAGCAGCAGATGTTGAAGAGGCCTTGTCTGGCATAGTTCGGGAATGTATCTCTTTATTCGCGCCTCCGTTAGGATGGCATGCAAATAAATGCAAATCTCCCCATCCAAGCCTGCCACAAGCGGAACAATGTCAATGTATATGGGGGGCCCCTCTCCCAGCTGGCACACATTTTGTGCTCAGTCTGGTGTCTCCCTTTCATTGTTTGCCATAAAAATTGCAAGTGCCACTAAATTCAGCGCCAGTATTGGCCGAGAGGAGAGGCAGGGGGACACAAGAGTGGGTTGGGCAGAGGGTAAGCTTATGTGCTTGCCCCAAATACCATTTAGCGGAAGTGCACACTTCAATAATGGAAAGAGGGCAACTGCAGTCAAGCAAGGAGCATGGAGGACACCCAAGCACGGAGCACAATGGCCAGGCTCAGGGGTACTCAAGTCTCATCTTTGTCTATTCTTTAGCCGGGAGTAGCATAAAGGGTGCAACCATCTGATTTAAAGGAGGCAGCAGGCTCTGAACTAAGGAAAAACCAAGGGATATTAATACAGAATAAGTATGGTAGAAAAACAATCACATTTTGCATAATGTCGCCATGGGAAATGCCTCATAAATTGGCAATGTGTTAAGTATATATTATATGAGTAATAAGGTGAATAATGCCCTGCCTAATATCTAGTTAAATATCGATCGTATCCACCATTTCTATTAAAGACAAGGCGACCAGACCAGACTTCCATGAAACAATTTGAAACAGTTGCATTATTCACAAAACTACAACTGAGGAAACGAAATCTGGGGCAGCAACACTAATTGGAATATTTGCCCCTCGCCCTCGCCCTGCCCCTGCCCTAGCCCCAACAAAAGTCCTGGCATGGCCATCCTCTAAAATAGTGCTAATACATGGTTAAGCTGCCGCCATCATGAGCAACTTTAAATGAGTTTAAAAGCAACTTTGCTTAGCCCGAGAGTGAGAGAGGCTCGAAGCGAAACGAAACGAAATCAGCATGAAAGCAATTGTCCAAGTTATTCCAAAGTGCCCAGAGGCCAAAGAGGGGACTGCTAGAACAGCAGGCAGCCACTGAGGTCGAGTCGTAGACCGAGTCTGAACTGTTGTCCAGTTGGTGAGTTGCTGTTGCTGTCAACGCTAGAAGCGTTCGTATAGGGCCAACTGTTTTTGAAATGAGATACAAAGGAAGGAATGGCCGGATGTTGGCGTCGAGGAAGTGCTGTAGATGTTGTTTTCTTATCCATTGAAAAGGCGATCTATAGTTAAGCACTAACAACTAAGAGATGCAGCTGTTGGAAACGGCATGGATTATCAGACAGAAATAAAGGGCATTAAAAACTACACGAAATACAAATTGAGAGTATTTTAAGAGGGTTAAACTCCATTAGGAGACCTTAGAGAATATAATGATTACAGTTGCCGATTAAATATATATATATAGCTTAAGAAATCGTCAAACAAAGAGTTTTTCACACATAAAGCTGTTGAAATACAATCAGACGTACCTAGTGATGCCGCGCTAAAAAGTCTTAACGCACTTTACAAGTCCACACAAGCTATGCATAAGTCCTTTAACGACTTCATGTCGTACACCAATAGCAGCTCCACAAGCATTTGTCAAGATTTCTACCTGTTAAGTACAGCTATTGAGGCACAAAATGGCAGTACAAGCACGGCTTACCATACAGATGCAGATCATTATAACTTATGCTCAAGTGCAAGCCAAATAAAGTCCTGGGCGGACTTAATAGCAACGATTGCGACCCCATTCAAGTCGAAGACAAAACGAAGTCGAGAGCAGCAGAGAGCCAGGCCAGAGGCTTCGTCCTATCCACTGCAGCATTGATTTATCAGGAGCCAAGAGCCGCCTGTTGAAGCACCAGAATGCGGATCTCTAAGAAGTAGTAAAAGTTGAAGCAGAAGCAGAAGTGAATCCATTGAATGGATTTGCAAGTTGTTGAGGAAACTGCAGCAAAGGGAAAAAAGAAAATAAGCAGAAGCAAACGCAATCTAAAGCGTCTGCACTTACCAGCAAGAGTTGTGCCCAGAAGGAGCTAGGACGACACCGCAATGTGTCCGGCGGGTACAACTTGCAAGTTGGACCCATGGGGTGCTCTTGGGGCATTGTAAAGCGATTCCAAAATGTGTTGAACTCTTAAGTGATTGAATTGTTATCGGTGACATGAATTTGTTCGCTGATTTGAATGGGGGGGGGGCTGCCGCTGAGAGCTGAGCATTGAATACTCACTGCAATTGAGATGATAGATAGGTTAATACAAGTGCACAAATAGTGCAATGGAAATATTTTAGAGTAACCCGATATGACTCAGCTGGAAGTGGCCACAACCCAGTGTCAGTGCGCTGACAAAGCTTCTGCTGTTCTCATCCTGCAGTAGTCGTTCCGTCAAAAGGTGCTGAAGGCGTTTAAAATTCCTCTCTGCAAGAAAAAACAAAGGAAGCCAGCATAAAAACGTTAGCAGCACTTCAATTCAATGCACTTACTTAGCGTTAAGTCACTCCGCTGGGGTGTGCTGATGCTTCTCGTGCGGTGCTGCAGTGTCAAGCTGGTGTGACTAGGCCATAAGGGTTTATAGCAGTCATGCCCGTGTTGCATTTCCTTTTTGCCCCAGCTAATGTGAGCGGCCAACGACGACACTTGAGCACTTCATAAATGTCGCTCCGAAGAGGAGAAGCCCTGGCCTGTGTGCTCGTGGGTGTCGGACGATTTTGTTATATGGGTTAAAGCTAAAAGTATAGAATAATATAAACAAATGCTCTCCTCCTCGACAAAAAAAATCACAGACATCAATTATTTGACTAGACACTGACCAATTTCAACACGATCAATACATTTTTGAAACATAGATTAAGTGGGCTGGTGGCGAGCATCAAACTCATCCCAGGTTCCACATCTTGGCGTGATCCGCCTTACAGTAGAAACACTCGCCTGATGTGATGTTAGACCATTTCCAACAGTAAAGAAAAACCTAGGCCAGAACTCACCGCTGGTTGCTTTTCGCATATTGCGGCAAGGCGTCCATGGAAGTACTGGTGGCAGCGAACACATTCGGGGGCCTTTATTGGACGCTCACGTATGCGTGTCTTAATAATGAATTGCACATCGGACTCGATATCCTCATATATTTTGCCAAGATTGTTTGGTGACTGGAGCGAGTTTATGGTATGTCAGCCGAGTTCAGACTTTCCAAAACTGCATTCCGATCGGTCTCTTTGATACCGGAATTGTAATAATTAGCCGCAAATTTGTGTTAAATGCAAATCTTACCCATTTTTCTTGTGATTCACAAGTCGATTTTCGATTTATAAGAACAGCGCCGACCTCAACTAATGGTTGATATATGTATGTAAATATAATCTACACCGCTTACCTATCCCAATAAAAATCTGATCGGGAATTTTCTAAGCACGCAAAACGCAAATGACGCCCTCAGAAATTTTTTTTTGCAAAACGCACTTCATTTCAAGTAACGGTGCTCACTAGTGCTGTGAAGCGCGTAAACATTAACACTTCAATTGACTAGTCCGAGACCACCGAAAAAAACCAATGCTTATATATTTATAAAAGATTAAAAAAAAAGTCATCATATCAATATAGATAATTCATCGAAAAAAAATTAAGTTCTTTGTTTATACATCTGTATATATGGGCATGTGTGCGAAAACAGACAAAATGTATGTATGCCAATAGAGGAGATCACAACAAAAAAGACAAAATACGCACCAAAGTAGTGTCTAGTCCCGTTCGTTTGTTCCCTGCGCTTCACACGAGCGTTCGTATTTGCTGAGCGCGAGAGAGAGAGTCGTCTCAGTATCAATGCTGCCGATTATCTTTTTCCCGTCAGATCTGGCTTTTTTTGAAGACCAGCGGTAGTTCTGTATTTATTATAAAAAGTTGGCAGCCCCGCTCAGTATTGTTGCTGCTGTTTCTAAGAGAACCATAGAATGAAGGATAGAAAGAGAACTGCCGTCGAGTAGCCGCCGCGATTGAAAGAGAGGAGAACACCAAACAACATTTAAATTTTGCTACCCTATCTCCGAATCTTCGCTATTCGAGAAACGATTGCTGCTGAGGAAATTGGCAGCAGACTTTACGGACATCTATTTCCACTGGACGCTGAAAACGCAGTCAGCGTCTTTGCGGCCTCTCTGCTAAAAAGCTTCAACATGCTTCCATATTTACCACTGGGGATCCTTGACAAAGTGTTCGGATACCTGAATGAGAAAGAGCAAGTGAAAGCGGCCCAAGTCCACCCGCAGCTTGGCCGCGCATTTGCTTACCACGTTGGAGGGAATTACAAGCGACTGAATTGCTGCCATTTTGTAGGCGACACTTTTGTACTCCGCTATACGTACGACGAGTTTAGAGTTATTCTGTCACTGTGCGGGTCCACTGTTGTGGATATTTCAATCAAATCTAGTGATGTAACGGATCGAATTGGAGAACTCATAGAAAAGTACTGCATTAACCTCGAATCTGCCTTTATCGAGGTTACAGATGGAAATTTCAACGCGATCAAACGTGTTTTAAGCATGAAAGGGCTACACGATCTTGTCTTGAATTGTTACCGTTATCGCGGATCGGATCTGTTGCAGCACATAAATCCAAACTGCACAAAATTGTGTTTAATGGGAATGACTACGGACCAGGGTAAGAATTACAATTACTTCATAAGCGAATAAGTGCTTGACAAGTGCTTTACATTTTTTCCAGAGGAACATTTAAGGCAACTGACTAATTTGGAAAAACTGGACGTGGAATCTGTCGAATTCCGAAATATTTTCGAAATCTGCTCCCATTTAAAGAAGCTACGGAACCTCATGGTTTCTGGTCTCTGGGATACATCACAGAAACTGGTTTTTTTGTATCCCGAATTGGAAGAGCTGTCTCTTCTGTATTTCTACATTAAACAAGAATTTCCAACATGTCCGAAGCTGAAAGCGTTGAGATTGTTCGATACTGTATGTTTAACTGAAAGCGTGGCACAACTTGTTTTAAAGTACGCCGATACACTGGAGTCTCTTATATTTGTACCTAAAGAATTTAAACACGAACTCTATGCAAAGGATTTAATAATTGTTCTCAGAAATTGTAAAAGCTTGCAGTTTCTTGACACCAATAATGGTATTTTAAAATTTATATTCTCCGAATTACTGGAGTCCTTTATTCAGGTTTTAAAGGAAAACGGTTTCAGCACACAGAAACGCTTCAAATTGGTAGGGGACTTGGATAAAACCGATGAACTTAAGCAGGAATTGGTGAGTGTTTGCTCTGGAGTGGAATTTCGCCTAAATTGAAACCATTTTTATTGCAGATGAACAAACTGCCGAATTCCGAAGTGTGGGACTTGATTACATTGACTGACATCCAGATTTACTGCACATGATTATTAAAATAGATTTGCTAGAATACTAAATATGTATAACACATATAAGAATTAAAACTTGTCAGTCTACCATTTTGGGGCAAACTCTAATGTGAAACCCAGCAGTAATCCAATTCGAAGGAACAGGCAGAGGGACTGATTGCTTTCCATCGTGAATCGACATGATCGGGGGTAACCTCTGTTCTACTTCTCCACAGACCGCCATAAGAAATACGTACATATGTATGTATACGTAATACGTATTACGAATACGGCTTGCATGCGGATGGGTCGCCTTTTCTTTTTCTTGTAGGTGTGCAAAAATCAAATCTTGCTAATTGTGCAATTTTTTTTACCCCCAACAAAAACAACAATAAATACGGTTGCCATCACCCTCGGGAAGGGAAAGGTAATTCGCAAACCAAAGTCCAATTCTACATTTCGAATTTTAAAGAAAGGCAGAATTTTGGTTGGCTAAATGAGAATCCCCACTAAATGTTACAAAAATATCGTAGGAAAAGGGTTTCGTGGAGTCGGTGTAGTCCAAATGTATACATATTTATTTATTAAAATCCCATGGAAATAAAAAATCGACTACTCTTCTCCATTGACTTCCAATATGGTCCAATTATAGTCTTGCAAATTTGATCGAATGAGAGAAATCAAATGTATTTAATATACTTTTTTAAATTACCTCTAAAGTATTTTATTTAACAAGCCTATCTATTTGTACAAATTTGAAACATTTTATTTTATTTGTATTGAATTAATTTTAAATGCAACGGAAATACAATTCCTTGACCCTTGCCACACTAAAAGGTTTGAGGTTTAGCTAGCCTAGCACGGACAACAACCAAAATTACATTTCCAACAATTTGCATGTAGAAATAGAAACCCCGGTGCACACTATAGTCGTCTCGTTCACACCCGACTACAGACATACGGACAAAGCATGCCCCAGCAGAGCAAGCCCGTGCATTAAATCCACAATAGGACTCTCCATGTTCAACTGGCTCGTTGGTCTAGAGGTATGATTCTCGCTTCGGGTGCGAGAGGTCCCGGGTTCAATTCCCGGACGAGCCCAAGGTGGAAGTGAATTAAATTTTTTTTTCGGTCAACTTTTTTTTTTTGCCGATTTTGCAATACAATACTGTACTTTCGCGAGCCTTAAAAAAACATAAACCACTTTTGGTCGTTGTTTTTGTCTTTGATTATCAGTGTGTTCTTGTGTTTTCTCGATCGCGATGCAAGTTCTTTTCCCCAGAGATCAAAGATAAGCGGTGCTACTGAACTTGCAAGCGGAATCGGTATCTTTGCTTCGATGACTCGTTTGTATGTACATAAGCAGAATGTTGTTTAGCATTTGTTTAGTTTTTAGTATTATGGATTTTGAAATACTTAGAACAATAAGGGTATTGCCAGGATTGATACAGATTACACATTAAAGAGTTTTGGGCACACAAAGGTTTTGATTTTTCCCTCCTATTGTTCAATCGCGGGCTTACTTAGAAGTTGATTTACTTTTTCTTTAAATTATTTCTTAAATTGTTAGCGCTGCCGCGGCCTTGTCGGTTTTGTTTTGGGTGTGTGTATTCGTTATGCTAATTGTATGTGCCTATGGGTGTGTAGTGTTTCTGTTTGTGTGTGTGTGTTCCGGGGGATGCAGTCTCTATGGATGCCCTCTCTACTCGTATTCCAGCACGTTTTTATGGTAAAACAATAAATAGCTGAAAGAGAGAAGTGACAATGACACATTTTGCATCATATACTTCTATATGTATTCCACTCACCCCTCGCTGTCCAGCACCTGTTTGAGCGATGCCATAGTTATCACATGATCATCACACTTTACCCACGTGTCCTTCTGATGCCGCACATACGCCGTGTAGTGGCCAGTGTCGATGGTGCCCACGTGATTGACCACCGCGTACAGGGAGAAGCGAAAGTCGCCGTAGGCATTCTTCTTCTCGGACATGAAGGGCGTCATATCGAACTCGACGGGGAACTGGATGAACGAGGAGATCTTGCGATCGATCAGCGCCGAGTGTTCAAAGCGCTTCAGATGAAAAGAGACCACGCTGGGCAGAGTCCGTAGGCTGAACTGCTTGGTGGACTCCTGGTAGGACTTGCAGGTGGAGCATTTTATCTTCGCCGCGGAGCCTAGATGCTCGGCCCGCGTGTACCGCTCCAGGCAGTCGATCAACGTCTTGGGCGTTACACCACCGTGCGTCGTGGTCTCGCCCAGGTCCAGCGAAATGTCCCAGAAGGGATCGAATGTGGTGGACACGCCCTTGCAGGCCTGGCACACCACGTCGCTCTGCAGCATGCCCGTGAAGATCTGGTCGATGATGCAGTTGCACTGTCCGTAGCTGGAAGTCGAGGAGCTGGTTGAATTGGTGCCGCTACCCGAGCTAGAGCTATTGCTCTTGCTCTCGTGCTCCGCCTTGGCCTTGACGCAATGCCGATGCAGCACATCCAGCGTGGCAATGAAGAACTCGTGCGCATCCTGCTGCTCGTAACCTGCCAGGTGCTTGGCATGGTTCCAGATTAAATGCAATAGGCGATGCAGCGACAGCGGCGAACGGGAGCCCGAATAGAACTCCTGGCGAAAAATAGTCGGATATTAGTGGAAAGTGGCAATCGGAAGATTGTGTATCACCTGGAAGAGACGCGACACTTCGCAGACCAGACACTTGTGCGAGGACTTGCCGCAGTCATGCCGGTCCGACATAAAGTAGTCGCTCAGCAGTGGGGTGTGTACCAAGGCCTGGGGGGGATGACAATGGGGGGTCATGGGAGATTACCTTTCCTGCATTCACCACTCACCTGGACAATGCAGTTCATGAAGCAGGTGGCCCCCAGATTGAGGAGTCCCCTCAGCCCGATCGTCTGATTGGGCCGCACTAGCCGGCGTCGTGGATTGGCCAGCAGCAGGTTCGAGTCCTTGGCCGAAGGTATCCACGGCTGCCACCCCAGGCTCTTCTGCAGATCCTTGGCCTCCAGCTTCCGGTTGATCAGCGCGTACTCACGGCTGCGCGAGTCGTAAATAAAGTCGCGACACGCATGGCAGTAAAGCGTTCCATGGGACAGCTCCAGGGCCACATGGTGTTTCTTTGCCCGCAGATGGCTGTGGATGTGTGAGCCCCGGCAGCCAAAGTAGATGCAGTGCAGGCAGGCGTATAGCTGGATGCTGGCGCTGCCGCACTCGAAGCAGTAGCAGTGTATGGCCTGGCGGTGGACGAAAAGGGTTAAATGTCAGTCAAGGTGAAAGCGCGCTTAGGGATGGCCAAGATTTAAGTGGTAACGGCTGGTAGTGTTTAAAAACACACCAATCAAAATTTGTTTGGTAATCACTTTATTGCCAGCACTGATCTTCCTCTTCCCTCCCCTCTCAACGGACTGTGTCAGTGAACTCTGCACATAACCGTAACGCTCTCTCTCTCTCTCTCGCGCGCTCTGTTTCGCTCACTCTCTCTTCCCCTCACCTTCTTCAAACGCGCATCTTTGTTCACGCAGGCAGAAAAATAAGCATCGATGACCCGGTATGTATCATATCCGTGCTCCTTCAAGTAGCTCTGATAATGCCGGCAGCCTGTCTCCGACATGACACCGCTCGCCTCCCTCTCCCTGCTAGCGACGCTCTTGGCGTCAACGCTGACGTCAAGTTCAATAGCAAGCTTTTGGACTGTGCGCAAACAGGCCGACAAATACGCCGCATTCAGTGGGCCCTTTGTTAGCTTTGCTCCGCCGTCGCTCTCGCTGCCGGTTGCTTCGTCTTTGTCGTCTTTCCCCCTCTCAACACCTCTGCCACGCCCACTTCTAGCAACAGTTTCGTTTTCCTCTGTCGCCACACACCGGCCGGCAGCTGACTTTGCCGATGCCTTTGTTGTTGTTGTTGTTTTTGCTGCTGCTACTGAATCTGCTGCTGCTTCTGCCGCTGTTTCGTTTTCGGCCGTTCCCCGGCCCGCTCCCGTCCCTGGGTAAAATCGTTTGTTGTTGCTGCTGGTGTTGTTTAGGCCGCCGGCAACGACGACGCTACCACTGTGGGTGCTGCTGCTGCTGCTTGTTATGCTAATTACGCTTGTAGTACTATCAACACTATTCTCTTTTGTTTTCGTTCGTTTGGAAAACGGCTGCGGCACGAATGCTTTATCACTCTTGCGCTGTTTTCGCCGAATTTTGGCCACTTTTGCTATGAACACACACAAGTGCTGTAAAATAGGAACTCTGTTTCACTAAATTTCGCGTTCGTTTTGATTTTTTGAATTTAATTTTTGTGATTTTTCGCGTTTCTGTTTCTACACACACCAGTGTGACCGCGGAACCATTGATAAAATATACGGTCTGACCCTTACAAATACGTCACAAATTTTAAGGTATACCGTACAAATACTGATGAATTATTTGTATTCAAGTTCCATCATATTCCACGTTTTTCATATTCGGTTTAATATTACTGGCTAGCAAGGACCCTCAGCTCTCAACTCATAGATTTATCCGATTACTAAATCAATTTCCTACAAGTCTGTTTAAATTTAAGTTCTCATCTTTATTGCATTGCTTATAAAATAAATTTTAAGCATAACCGGTCAACAAGAATTTCAATTAAATTTATTTCCCTACATGGTAACTACACGCTAACTACACATTTTGTACATAACGGAAGGAAAAAGAGGGAATGGACAACAGGCAAAACGGCCCAGAAAATGCAACGCATCCAAGGTAAAATCCACCCCATTTGCTCAATATATACCAGTATATACCGTAAATATAACTGATCGATTTCGACGTCAAAATATACCAAACAGCATATAATATACCGTAAATGGTTACACACACACACGCACATACCAAACACACACACGGTCAGAGCGGCGACAGCTGAATCCACAATCTTGCAAAACAGGGCTGCTGTGACAGCTGACATGTTATCGAATTGAATGGCGCGCTTTGTAAAAATACCAGAAGTATTTGATAAGCAGAGACTCGAACATAAATATTCGAAATAAATAGATAAAAGATGAAAAAAACATTTAAAACAAGCTCAAATCTGTGGATTCGTGTTTAATATATATGTTTTTTGCTTTCCCTATTCAAACAGCAACGTATTCGATAAGTCGCCGGCGACGTTTGGCAACACTGATTCATTTGAAAATACTGATATCTACAGTAGAAGCAGGCGCATTTGTATCACTTTAATATAGAAATTAACAAAATTTTGGTTTACAAAATATGTACACAGATGAGGTGAGAACACCTCAGGCCCTCAAAAGTCGATACTTCACCAATCTGGGTGATCTAAATTGCCGGACGCGCAGGAACAGCGCCACGGGCAATAGTTCTGTGGCGTCTGCTGCAACGCCAACTAATGGCGGCAAGCAAAATACGAAATGTAGCCCACAAATGTCCACTCTGGTGTGTACGCCACCGCCTAAGCGCTTCCACAAGATTCGGAATCCCTTCGAAGGCGCTCTGGCGGACCGTTTGCACCTGCCTCTGATTGCCAGGTAAGTGTGTGCATCCTGTTCATCCAGCCCGCTGCAGCCATTCATAGAACATTTCTATTGTCTGCTGTAGTCCTTCGCTGTTCCGCGCACGCACCCCCCAACTCTCGTCCACGCAGTTCGAGTGGAACATCGACGAGGTGTCCCAGCTGACGCCCGCCGATGTGGAGCCCCACGAAACGCAGTTCCACGACTCGCCCGACCCCGAGCTGGAGAGCAAGGCCCAGATGGCGATCAGTGCCTTCTTCAAGGAATCTCTCATAGTACCCAGCCCAGTGGACTGTCCGCTGCGCAAGAACCGCATCATACTCAACGCGGACCATACGCCCATCTCGAACAAATCATCGAGCGGCCGACGGGGGAGGGACTGCAGTGTCCAGACCGAACTGACACTGCCCCCTATCCTGCCCAAGGCGCTAGAGGAGGCGCTGCGCCCCTACTTACAGCCCCATCTGGCTGGCGGCACGTCAGGTCGTTTCAAGTCCCGCTCCAGTGGTAGCGACGTCTTCAACAGCTCCATGAGGCGCAAGCTGTTCGATCTTCACAATGTGATTGTGCTGGGCGAGAAGGAGGCAGCGCAGTCCCCCCAAATGGTTGGCTCCAGTCCGCAGGGCAAGCAGACTATGTTCGCCGGCAGACTCTCGGACTCGGCGTCAGGTGAGGGCAGCTTTGGGTCCCTCTCTCCCATCAGGAACCTGTGCGGCCTGCCTTTGGGGACCCCAGACGACGGAAATCGCTCCTCCAAGCGTAAGCTGCTGCTAATAAACGAGCTGGAGTTTCCCTCGCCAATAGCTCCCCCTGAGCATCTCAGCCGTCGCTTGGTGCACTCCAAAGTGGAGGCCAGCATCAGCTCGAATGAACAGCACGATACGTTGTCGGAGCTGACCGGAACGGGACGACCGGCCTGCCGATTCACTCCAGATCGTAGCTCCTCGCCGATGCAGGCACTAGAGCATTCTGATTCCAGTATCAACCAGCGGGTAAGTCGGCTGAGAGTGAACAGCACGCGGCAGTTGCCTAGCCAGTCGTTCCTGGAGACTGTGGACCAGGCTCTGTTTGAGGAGGTAGAAGCGGACGACACAGACGAGCCCGAGGCCGATCCAGAATCGGACGAGGATGAGGAGGAGGCCGAGGCCATGCAGTTGTCTACGATCAGCTTCAACTGCAGCTCCTCCAACTCGGACACACCGCGCGGACACCGCCGCCACCGTTCGGCCAATCGTAAAAACCTCTCGCAATCCTTTAGTGCCAATTTGGAGGAAGTGGAGGCCCAGCGGGTAAAGACAGCTCCACCTGTGATCAATCCGCCGGCGCAGCGCATTGGTCTCTATCGCGTGGACAGTGGCTTTAACGAGACGTCCATCATATCGACATTCGCCTGCTCCCAGGACATCTCCATGGCCTGCTGCTCGACGCCCTCCACGCGCCCCTGACACCACAAGCAGTTGAAACTATTTTAATGCAATAACTCATCTTCCCAGGCTATAGAGGAAGACTCGCTTAATGATTGCAATGTAACCCACCGATACTACGGCCTTATCTTTAGTTCTGTATTTTTGTTTGTGTTTTTTTTATTGTCTTATATTCATGCGTGTTAAGCTCAAATTAATCACTTGTTTATTTCACACTCCCCGTATTCTACACCTACGTGTTTGCCAAAAAATTGTATGTTTAGTTTCGGTATTTATAGAGTTAATTCATTGTGTCATTGTATAGTTTAAAGCATAAATTAAATAAATGTTTTGTGTCATATTCGCTTTTAGACTACGTAGCTCCCAGAAGGGAAACAGGAACAGGAATTAGGGTATTAGTAAATCGGGTTAGGTTGGGTTGGGTAGCGCTAGCTAACGTGAATGACTACTGCCATAAAATGATCACAAAAAGGGATGAACTGAATTTTTACGTGGAGGGGGGGATCTCCAAGCGATCTTATTCAATATTTCTCGAACTTTTCATGAGAGATGGGAAAATAAATAGAGAAAGAGAGCACTGGTGTTGTTTTAAATGTCAATTCCTACACTACGTTTATCGTCTTTATGCCCTATTTATTTGTTCAGAATTAGAGAATGCTTTATCTTTCTATGTTACTACATTTTTGTATGTAAAAAAAAAACGATGGATAATTGTAGTCTTGGCAACATTTGGCATTTCTGCGGAACCCATATCTATAAGACTTTAAAGGGACTACAATGTTTTTAAAAAATATTACCCTTGCGACAAAATGAAAACTTTTGATTGTGCTTTGTCCAAGAAAAAAATTGGTTTGTAGGCTATATACAATATACTGTCTTTTCTTAAAACACAAAAACTGTGATTTTGTTTTTGGTTTTTAAGACTTTATTTCTGTAGTGGCATTATTTACCAACAAACAAAGCTACTAATTATTGTCCAAATAGTCCAAACAATGCCAAAGGTTGGATGATAAAATCCACAAGAAATGCCCTATACATTGACAGCTAAAACAAAATAAGCAGCTTATGCATTTTGAAAATTTTAAATTCAATTCCTCTGTAAATTTAGAAAAAAAATTTTGACCATAGCAAATGTCAACCAATCGATAATTTAACAGCTAAAATTTTAATATTTTTCATTGTTAGAATAGAAATTCTGTCGGGGAGCGTAAAAACGTTCTCCTTGGTTTTCTCGAACATCTCTTTGATTTGATCGAACCCCTTTTTTGCTTTAAAGGTATGGAGAACAAGTAAAAACGATCAAGAGAAATTGCAAGACTCGCACGAACTCTACCTTGTCTTGTTTTAACCAACAATATACCTTGTCCATACCCTCTTTTTTCTCAGTCCTTAATTTTTTACCGTTGGCAACATCCGATTTGTATGGGAAGTTTGTTGCGAGCACCATTCTGTATACCCTATGGATATGGACATTATGGAATTGAGGAAATGTTTGTCATCGCTGGTTCCAATGAATTCAGAAACAGTCCGTCTCTGTTTTAAAGCTATTTCAGCGAAATATTCAGTTTGTGGACTTTTACAGAGACCAAGAATAGAAATCGGAATCATGATATATATACAGGAAACTAATCATTTACATAAATGGGTCTAAAATATGTCAATCTGAAAAAAGGCCATTATTAATTACGTTTTAAATCTGCTTGGAAAACAGATTTTTCATAGTTATTAAATGAAATAGGGTATAAATATGTCCATACTTTTGGCGGATACCTGTTGACCAGCAACCATGACGTAACACTCCATACACACTTACATTCCGTTGACACTTACGTTTCATGCCTTGACTTTATTTGCTTAAACCATATTTTTGACACAATCAAATCAAAAAGAGTCCCTAAAATTACTCATCTTGTAGAAAATTGATCTATCAATTGGATAAAAATATGTCTTCAGAGCTGAGGGTCTTAGCTAGCCAGCAATATTAAATCGAATATCGAAATTGAGGAATATGATTTCAAATAGTGGACAAGGCACATTAACCCATTGTCGACCACTGCGCATTAAAAAACACTCCCCGAAAATTATGAATCTTGAACAATTTTAACGCAGCTTAGGTGAAAGATATCGTGGTTCTTTTTTAAGCAAAGGTAAAGGAATGGGTGAATCTACAAGAGCAATTATTATTATTAATATTATTAGCATTATTTTCCCCGGCTCAACTCAAGTTGTTATACTGCTTAAATTAAGGGGGGCTTGAGTGGGCTAAGCTCGTTTTTTCAACACTGCTTGTTGCTCTCGCGTTGTGCGCGGTTTGAACAAATCAAAATGTACGCGCATGCGAAAGAAACCAAAGTTATTTGTACGATCAGCAAACAATACAGAAGATCTCTGCACTAATTTTCACCTGAGCGCAGCCAGTGCAGTGGGTGTTTCTGTGTGCGTGTAGGTGCTTGCGTGTTTGCGTGTGTGTGTGGTTGCGGTGTGCGTGTGTTCTGTTAAAAATAGCAAAAGAGAAGAGGAAACGAAAAGGAAGATCACTTTTGGGGCCGTAAATAAATGCCAAAAGAAAGTGCGGAGAAAAATAAAATTGTTTGTTTGTGGGCCAAGTAAATAAATTAGAACAACTCGTAAATAAGTCAGGTGGTGGAGAATTCCAATAAAATAAAAGGCGGAAATGTGCAAATTAATGAAAATTCAACACGGCCATGTCCCCGCTTCCCGCTCCCGTCCCCCTGGCCCTGTCGCTCTTTAGCCACCTACTATCCCTCTGCTACGCCGAAATTCCTGTTACAAGAAACCAGTTAGGCGGCATCGCCCCCGACTGAGTGTCGCCCCCCAATCTCCCCCTGCAACTAGCATTTCTTATTGGCCGAGCGACTGGGCGGCTGCATCCGTTTTTGAGCGAAAGTTTTTTTTACGGCCTGGTGTCCACCGTGCAAAATGTGTGTTCAAGTCGGGCCAGCTGTTCCATCGTCCACTCCACCGTCGGAAGAAGCGAAAGAAAGAGAAAAATCTAGCCAATTATTTTTTGTGCTCTGTGCTCTATCTGTGCTGTGAAGAAAGTGTGTGCCAAGTCTCAATGTCTATAATAAATACAATTTTTTTTTACAATTTGCAGTTTTGTTTTTTGTGTGATTTGATTCAATTTGATTGAAGGCAGCCCACTTGCCACTTGTGCTGCAACAAAAAAGCGGAATAAACGCAAAAAAAAAACACTGAGGAGACTGCAATTGGAACTGAATGGCAGTTGTCGGCCTTTCGTCTTCTTCACCATCTTCGTTCATTTTGAAGGTAAGCTGCTCTCAAACGCGGAGAAGGGGACATTTGGGAAATTTTGTGTTTACATTCGGGAATTACATGCATACATATGCACACACGGATTCTATGCAGGCTGTGTGAAGTCTGTGTAGTAATGAAAGCAGCTAATCAAGAAGGATGTGGCAAGAAGGAATATTCAAAAGAACAATTTGTTTAGATCGAGCTCTCTCTGCAAAGCATTTTGCGCAATTGAAGTGATCTTTTATTGCCGAAAGTCCCTGCCGGGAATACAATAGACGGCGGCATTGGAATTTTTGATGATCTTGCATGTGTGGGTCGGGGGACATTTGCTGGAGACTGGTGAGGAAAGCAGTCTTTCCTTATTTCATGGGGGACATTTTTTGTTGCTGCATTAGGAAATTTTTGTGTGCGTTTTCATGGGGGGAGGCTATGGAAGTCCGGTTGGTGATGAAAACACATAAGTATACTTGTGTATACATATATAACAGCCATCATGCATATAACGGTTCGGGCGAAGGAACAGTGTGAAGAGAGCCGTTATATGTTGTTAAACCCGTGGTCTCGTCAGCTTTTGTCACATGTCATATGCGGCTTCTCTTTGCTTCTCCTCTGTCATTCGGCCTCCCTTTTCCCCACATGTTCTTTGGCTTATCTCAACCCTTGTTTTTTTTTTCTGTGTTATATAGCCGGTTCTGCGGCTTTTGTATAACTTCCGCTACTATTATTATTATTTTTTATTTGTTCACTGAAAAAAAGTGTAATTAAACAGAGGCGGACAGCAGACGGAGGACAGAGCAGACAAAGAGTATGGCACAAATAACCCTCTGCAACAGCAACTGCAGCAGCGGCGGCAGCGGCAGCGGCAACAGCCTCTCATGGGAGTCGACTCTCGAAAACCGGTTACAAATCATTAAACTAAAGATTCTAAAGCATGGCATACCCTATACAAGTACCTATACAGCTCCCCCACTCTATCTCCCTCCCTCCATATGTTGCATGCCTCACTGCACAGGCTGCCGTGTTGCAAGTGCAACTTGTTGCTGTCTGTTGCCGCTGCCGCCGCCACCGCTGCCACTGCTGCACTTTCATTAAAAAGGGGATAGGCAAACTTCACACACATGTATGAATAGAGGAAAAGAGTATACAGAGGGTCTCTAGATATTCCGAATAGATGAAAAATATCATTACCAAGAGCTTAAGGAATGAATATCTGTATGTGTAAGACATTGAATCATTTTAATCACCATTTGAATCATTTCCTTTCGTATTGAGTGCTCCACCACAACATTGTTGCAATGAATCATAGCTCTATTTGTGGCTCATTTATCTGCTGTCCCTTGATATATTACACAGTTTTAACCACAGTCTAGTCTGAGAATCTAGCTTATACATGAATTCATCTAGAAAAATAATTATAGAGCATCCTTGTGTCGCTCTGGCGTCTGCTTTTTGTACTCTTTCTTGTTTTTCCTGTTTCGCTCGCACCCAAACAAACATCAATTTGTCTAATATTCAAAATCGAAAGAAGAAACGAGAATCGCGAAAGAGGGAATGGAACGGAACGGAACCCGTTTATTGGCATCCTTGTGACACACTGACATCTTTTGCGGTTCTTTTGCTCTCTCCCTGTCGCCCTGTCTCCCCGTCTGCCCGTCTCTCTAGCTCTCACTTTAGTTAATTAATTTTGCTTTCTGTTGGCTCCCCTCCCCCCTTTCCCCTTCCCCTTCACTCTCCCCGTCATTTGCATTGATTTGCAAATTTTTTTATTGGCCCATTCCGAGTCGATTCGATTCGATTCGAGCCTGACGTAATTTGTTCAACTTTGTTATTTACCTGACAAGCGTGAGAGAGAGAGGGGGAGAGGGAGAGAGAGAGGGAGCAATAACTAACTAATCAGCGACGGCCTTTTGGTTGGACTTTAATTTATTAAGTGAGCGCGCGGGTGAATGAGAGGGGGATTTATTGGTCAAGGACTTTTTCTCTCTCTCCCTCTGTATCCGTTTGGTTTTGGGAATTTTTTTTGTGGTCGG